CAACTGCATTTGAAAAATTGATCCTTACAGTCTATGTTATTTAAATTTCCATCTAATCTAATTTCATTAAATATTACTTTTTGAAAAAACCCTCTTTAAGTTTTTAATAGTAATACAAAATTACAGATACAAGTTTCTTCAACTTTATAAATATTAAAAACTTAATCATATAAAGCATGCAGATCTATTTGACAAACTTATGCTACACAATAAATTACATAAAATTAAATGTGAATCAATAAGTTTTAATAAAAACATTTTTTTTAATAAAACCCACTTAGCGTCCCAAGTGGGTTTTTTCAAGGTGGGCCCACTTGTCAATAGAAAGTGCAAAGTAATTGGAAAAAAACAAATTTTTATTCCGCGAATACTGACAAATATACAGTTTAAAAATAAAATAATACAAAGAAATGAATTCTGTCAGCATATTGTTTAAGTATGAGTAAGTTTACTTTTTACAACGCAATTTTTTCCTTTGTAAAAAAAATATTCAAAATCACTGAATTCAGTACCAACTCTAGAATAATTGCTGGTATAATCTTATCGGAACTATAGAAAGAGCAAAGTAATTGTAAAAAAAAAAAACTATATTTGAGTTCGGCGAATACTAATAAATATACAGTTACGTACGAAAAAGATTAAATGCAATTCATAAAATTTGTTTATCATTTAAAGTAATGTCAAAATATAAAACAAAACTACTTTTATGTACTTGCAAAATTTACTTCAGATTGGCGAATTTGGCGTAAAAAATCATACTTTTAATTCACGGTTAAAAACATAACACATTTATAACATAAACTTCTTTAATGGATAGAAACAGATTTATACTTCTTATAAAATAACTTTAAAATCAATACTCAATTAAAAACTCACCTGAATTAATATATAACAAATTAGATTCGCTGCTTTTTCACATAAACTTTGCCGCCATATTGTTTTGACTGGTGCTATCCCATAATCCCATGCGGTGCGGTTGCTGCCACCTGATTGGTTGAATTGTGAAGTTGAATCAACTCTTTCGAAGAGATTTGAAAGAGTTGAACAGCAGTTGATCCAACTCGGATAAGTATAGCACACCTATGTTTTCGGACGGAGTTGTCTTCGGAGTTGAAGTTGAGTTGGACGAATTTCCTTAAGTGTGATATGGCCTTAACTTGTTCATATGAAATTTTAAGAGGAAGCTAAAATTTGTAAAGCAAAACAAATTCAGTTCATGCTGAATTTTCATAGTTTTCAAGAATACATATATATATAAATATTTATTCAAATATATACAATATATTTATTCAAGAATTCATATTTCTTTTCATCTAATATTATTGAAAAAGTGTTCAGCATGAAATTTACTTACAAACTAAGCATTATATTCAAGTTAGTAATTACAATTCATGCTGAGCACTTTCTCAATTATAATCTTTTTTTTATCACACTGTTAGTTAGCAATTAATGTTTTGCTTTGAAAAGCAAATTTAAAAAAATAAAATAATGTCAAT